TTTTGAAAATTTTCCGAGATATTAAGAAAAAACTAAAGCCCCATTTTTTTTCACTTAATTGTTTATAACCTTTGTAATTTTTATCGGCGCGTTTTCGGACCTGTCCTTAAACTTTCTAGGCAAAAATACGAATCGAATGACACCTTGGTCGTAATTTTTGGACAGGGCTGAAAAATGTCACCAAAAAGAGCTAAATCGAGTACATGTGAACCAGATTAATACATGTTGTCCAACAATGTATTTAGCCAAGCTAGCGTAGAGATACGCAACATATGGAGACCCATAATCAAGCAAAAAATGGCCAACTCCCGCCAAACGGTCATCTCCCACTGAAACAGTGAAGCAGAAAAAATGGAAAGCGGGGATAAGTGAAAGTACTCGAACGACGTATAAATAGTCATCTCTCGGAGGAATCAGTCCAGTCATCACCCGAAGACGATTGTGGATACTAACAATCGAAACGTCGTGAAGTAACTTGGCTTGGAATCTCTTAATTTTTCATTAAGGTTATTAACAAATTCCGCTATAACTGAAATAACCTGAGTTAAACATATTTGGGTTAAAAGATCATCATCAATGACTTCTTTTGTCTTAAATTTTCATTTCGAATCACTCACTTTTTCAAAATACATCTGTCTGAATATTTCTCAAGATTACCTTTATAGACATAAAAGTTAAAAATTAATTTTACCACAATACAAATAAGGACAAGTACTCGTGCTAAGATGAATTTTACGGGCACTTGTTCACAAAACCTGCGTTTACAATTTGTTCAAACCTCGGTAAACTACGAAACCATAAATGAAAGGATCTTAGCAAGATGACTATTTTTACACTATCACAGTACGTTGGTTCGAATATACGTCGTACTGTATACGACGCAAATTCGATATTTAAAAAATATGCGTCTTTTGGAAGAAATCCAAAAACACGTCAACTTTAATTTTTGACGGCCCATCGTAATCGATAATTTTTTTTAATGCAAACAGAGGTCATGTGGCACCTCATTCAAAAAGTCTACTAATCGTCTATTCAACGGTATAATTATTCCAATATTTGTTTATACAGGGTGAACCAACACTTTTTATTCAATAAAATACAATAATATTATGATAAATGTTCAAATTGATGACCTTCAGCAATGATGCAATGTGAAAGCCGGGCAATAAATTCCTTTGTAACGTTTTCGAGAACTTCGGGGGTTATTTGTGCAATATCCGGTCTGATATGTTCCTTCAACTCTTCTAAATCATTTGGTCGATTCTGGTAAAATTTGCTCTTTAAGTATCCCCATAAAAAAGTCTAACGGGATCAAATCCGGAGACCTTGGTGGCCATTCGATTGTTCATCTTCTTCCTATCCACTTACTTCGGAAAACAGTATTCAGACAGGTTCGTACATCAACGGCGTAGCGTGGGGGCGCCCCATCCTGCTGGAACCACAAATAATTTCTATTTGGAGATAGCTGATTCAGTTGTGGCACCAGATAATATGGCCCTATTATCTGGTGGTTCAAACTCCGATCTCTGTTAAAGCGTTCCATCATGATTTCACAGAATTCGACACTTCTGTCAAAGTCATCTTCTAACAGTTCTTGCACCAGATAAACTTATACGGATGCCATTTTTTTCAACACTCTAATAACATTCTTATTAATCAGTGGGCTATGCTTGAGGACTGGCAGTAAAGAAATCTAAAGAAATGAACTTTAAACGTTCAAGCCAGTCTCGAATATACCTACATAGTAGGTTTAATGGACTGACGCCTATCAGAAAACAACTACTCCCCTGGCTAATACCACGAAGGGCGTTGGATTATATCCGACAGGCGTCAGTGCAGGAATCTTCACAGAAAGTGTCCTGCATATGCAATTGGCAATACAACTGAAAGAGGTGACCTTCAATTTTGGAACGGGCACACTTGCAGACCGGTTTCGGGCTCATTTGCCACTCATCAGTGCAAGATAGTGGCCATTATCGACCTAAAGTCAATGATATTCCATAATTGGCCTGCAAGTGTGCACGTTCCAAAATTGGAGGTCGACTGTTTCAGTTGTATTGCCAATTGCATATGCAGGAAATTTTCTGTGAAGATTCCTGCACTGACGCCTATCGGATATAATCCAACGCCCTTCGTGATATTAGCCAGGGGAGTAGTTGTTTTCTGTTAGGCGTCAGTCCATTCAACCTACTGTGTAGGTATTTTCGAAACTGGCTTGAACGTTTAAAGTTCATTCCTTTAGACTCTAATAACAGTTATTTTAACACCTCAACACGTGTTTCGATCACCAAGTGATCATCTTCAAGATCACCAAGTGATCATCTTGGTGATAGAAACACGTGTCGAGGTGTTAAAACAACGGTTTGGTGTTTGGAAGTGTTCAAAAGGAAGAATATTAAACTCTTCACCTTGAAGATGATCACTTGGTGATCGAAACACGTGTCGAGGTGTTAAAAATAACGGTTTGGTGTTGGGAAAAAACTTCAGTAATATTCATACTACACCAAAGGTTCCAAACAGAGCATCACAAGTGGAAATTGCAGACCGGTTTCGGGCTCATTAGCCACTCATCAGTGCAAGATAGTGGCCATCATCGACCTAAAGTCAATGATATTCCATAATTGGTCTGCAAACACGTGTCGAGGTGTTAAAAATAACGGTTTGGTGTTGGGAAAAACTTCAGTAATATTAATTACTACACCAAAGGTTCCAAACAGTGCATAACAAGTGGAAATTGCTGATTAATTGGCAAGTAAACTTGGGTTATTTTAATTTAGTACATGTCCATTTGAATGAGCTTGTAAAATTTCATTCCTAATGCATAAATTTTCAATTAGTTCATACTTAAACTCAGGTAAAATTGTTAGACATGTGAGTAGATAAAAGGATAATGGTTAACTGTCACTATAAGTGAATTATTGAGTTGCCAAACTACGATCATTACGGAGATGAAGAAAAAGTTAGAAATCCTATTGGTTACACTTCGGACTATACATTTTTGAAGTTAAAGTTTTGGAGAGGGGTGTTGCCGTTAAGAAAACCTGAGACTGATTTCGCAATGTTTAAAATCAAACGTAAATAACCAGTTTGCACAGTCACATTTCTTAGATCACCTTCAACTATCTTGCTGAACTGCTTGTAGTGTTTCAAAGAAAAAAAACCTCTAGTGTTTCCAAGAATAACACTTCACCCCATTCCCCTCTGAACATATGACGCCACTGGAGAAATCAAATAATTTTATTAAAGACGATGCAAGCAATTACTTTACCTGCACCCTGGCTTCACTTAATCCCAGTCGTTGGCTCAACTCTTCCCTCATGAAGGCATCAGGGTAATGCGTCTCATCAAACAGCCTTTCTAATTCATTTAGCTGTTCCAGAGTGAAATTCGTCCGGGATCTTCTCTGCTTCGTCGAGGATTTCACAGATACAGAGTGGTTTATGGATGAGTCCCGTGAAATCGTCAGTTCTTCGATGTTTTCCTCTTGATCGGTAACTATGACTGAAATTAAAATGTCACCATCACTAATATAATGCATAGAAACATTTTTAGGGAGTCTATTAGTATAGTCAAAGTAAACGATATTGTGAACATTTAAAGTTGGCGGCACTCTCAAAGACAAAAAAAACAATACACGGACATGAACCGGCTGCGAAATGGTCCACGTGGATTGTAGAGCTGGCGGTTCGTATTGGATCATTTTTACAGAGTTTTATGATTGGCTGAAGAATCATAAAAATTGAATTTGAAGTCATGTTTCGGTGACGAATAGAAATCGGAGAATGCGAGGATGGTTATCGTCGTCGTGTTCAATTCAGGAACTGATCGCGATTTGATGAAATTCGATATTGCTGCAGTTATAATTACTCAAAATTTTTGTTATCTGTTTAAAATGTGGCGTCCTTGGACAAGTACTAATAGTAATAACGAGTGTGATAACAACGTAGACTTTTTCCAGTGTAGTGATTCCAATAGCGATGGTGAACAATGCGAAAAAGAGATACCAGTGAATAAGATTCGGATGCATTTGAATATTGAAACACAGAAAGTATGTTTCATCTCAAGTTTGGTTTCGAGGGAAACAAACTGTTACAAGCAACATCAGATTTGACCGAAATTCCTTTCTCAACTATACGTAAAATAGTCATAAACAAACCTTATGAACGCAAGACGCGATGTGATACAGAATTACCAAAAACTTCAGATGTTCATCTAATAAGATCATTGAAAAAAAACAATATACGACTGTTACAAAAGCTATGAGATTCCTACACCCGAAATCATAAGGAAGAAATTAAATACTTCCGGCCATAACGTGAGCTGCTGTGATAAAACTCTTCAGAATTGAATAAAGAAACTAAGATTTAGATTTAAAATAATAAACAAAAGTCAAGCAGTTATGGAAAGCAGAATAATAGTGGAATTGAGTAACAAATACTTAGAACAAATAACTAAATATAGACAAGAACAACGGCAAATTTTCTATTTGGACGAAACGTGGTATGACACTCACGACACAGTTATGAAAGGGTGGACTGGTGGTTCGAGAATATGTACGCCTAACATGCCTGCAAACAAAGGATCGCGACTAGTCACTGTGTATTACGGGGGAAGTAAAGGATGGTTTCCGAATTCTTTGAAATTATGTGGAACTATCATAAGAACATGGAAGCTAATATTTTCGAGGAATGGTTTGAAAACACATTGATCCCAAATTTGGATGATAATAGTGTAATAGTTCTTGACAGTGCTTCCTATCATTCGCGACAGATCATCAAAGTACCGAATAAAAATTCGAGGAAAGATGAAATACAAAGTTTTTTAATGGATAACAATTTGTATGTTGATGATAATTATACCAAAAACCAACTACTTGAAGTTTTACAGACAAAAACATTTGAGAAAGTGTATGCCCTTGAGAGTATTGCTTAAAACTATGGACATACCATATTGAGACTTCCCCCCTATTTTTGTGTTTTCAATCCCATCGAGTTGGTTTGGGGAAAATTGAAACAAAGCATCAGGCGTAAAAATAATTTTTATTCTGACAAAATGAAAAAAAAAAACTAGTTCCAATTCAAAACTCCCATATAAGCGACAGATCCTTAGAAACGAAAAAATTCAATGTGCAATCTATAGAATTTCCAGAAAAACCTATTTTATCAACGCGAATCATATGTTGGACTGTCACCCAATATTTTTGTAGGGTTTGAACTTTAAAACGTTCTTCAGAACACCTCGTTTTGTTTTCATCCGACACGAGTAAAGAACTGCTGGCGAGAGACAGCGTCCCGTAAGTTTCCAATCCGCAACGGAATAAACATGAAGAGGGAAAATAAAGGATAGAAAATTAGGGTGGAGCATTTCGACATGATTTAAATTGCTGAAATGGGCGTTTTATGTTTTTTATTCAATCAAATCAAACTAAACAAAGGGGAATCCAATTTGGATTTTGTTTCCAATTTTCCTGGAAAACTTTATTTTATTAGAGAGCGAATCATTGAGGGGAACAATTTAACTTGTCAAAACAACAAGCAGTCATTGCTGTGGACGTTATTAGATTAACATTGATTTCTGTCACATTGATTTTCTCGTGCGTTGCTGGTTAGGATGGTTGATTCACGGTAACATGTTATATCGTACGTCATTTAGCTTTACAGAACCTATTGGGAACTGACGTTACTGAAAATATGCCCTGGAAGGTTATTGAGAAGCAGTGGAATGCGGGCGAGTTGACCTGGATAAAAATACGGGTCCTGCTCCATGGAAAAACTGGGTTACAAAAAGTTTCATAGACTTACATTATCTGTGAATTAACGTGTATTTCTGACCTACGGAATAAGAGAGATACGTCAAAATATTGCACATAAAGTAACTGCAAAAATATATGAAAATCTTATTTTCTTCAGAACAAAACACAATCACTACAGGAAAAGTAGCGATTCACGTTGGAATTGAACCGCTAGAGATTAAATTCATTTAGAAAAACTTTCTGCAGAAGTTTATTCCACATAAATGCAGTTCTCTTTTGTCCTTCCATACAAATATTTAACTGCTCGTTTTTGTAGAATCAAATTTTATAGAATCAGAATTGAATTTATGAAATATTTGCGGCATATGCTCCAGAAAGTTGTTCAATATCTCAAAAGCTAAACAACCATGGCATGGCAATACGAAAAACAGCATGAAATATCCTAACTTGTATAACACTTTTCCCAACATTAAGCAACCTTATGTCAATGTCTTGTCTAGTTCCTCAAATTTTAGATTCTGTGATGAACAGCGTCATTTCCTTGCATCAATCGAAGTGTCATGCACTTGAAGATGTTTTTTAAGAAAAAACAAAAGATTTGCATCAAACCATTGTTTTATTTAAGCAAGACCACGGTAAATGAATTACCAAATGAATTGAAAATCTGTTCTTCGTTATCGACTTTCAATAACCAANCTCTGAATGTGATATTGTTAAATCTACTTTCTATGTTTCTCTTTACTAGAGTTGACTGTTCCAATTCAATATTCTGTCTCTTGGGAAATAAAATATTATTTATTAATTTTTTTTTTCACCGTAGTGTGCGCTGGTCAGGCCCTACCCCCCGAAGCCCCGATACATTTGGGAGGGCGCGCCAGCATTATCAACCAATGACCACTCCCCACACCGTGGGGTAGGTGATCATTGGGTTCGATAATCATGTACCCTGAGCAAGCGCAGTGAGCCAAAAATGACAGCCTTCTGCATCTATGCGGCTAAGATTTCTGCCTTAGTGCGGCAAGCCGGTATGATTTTAAGATTCGAGAGTAGAGAGGCCATCATTGAACCAAGGACTCCAATAATCAGAACAACCATTTCGACAGAGTGGTCTGGATAGAGTCTGCGGAGTTCGAAGAGAAAATCTCGATATTTTATCCGTTTTTCCTCTCTTTTCTTATTATTGTTATTATTATTATTATTAAATGCTTAACTGGAGATCTCTCTTGTTATTCATAAGCCATAAAAACCTGTGCGAATGAGTCTACGATATTTAGACCGGTCGGTTCAGTGATATACATATCAAAATTTGTAGTGGCCCCTAGACAGAACCTCAGGGCACCCTTTTAATAACATGCAGTGTACCTGAAATAAACCTGCTGATGTTTACATATATGCTTTTTAAAAAGGATTTGAACCAAGACAATTTCTTATCTCTCACAGTGGAAAAGCTTTTCCAGCAGTATTAAATGGAGTCAAAAGCTTCTGATAGATAACAGAACACTTCAGTTGTTGCCACCTCTGAGTTCATATTGCTGTAGGTTTGATGTAGTAAAGAAAATATTGCATCAGCGGAGGTTTATATGTTCCAGCTGATGTGGATTTCTGATTTTAGATTTTCGTTCATTCAGCAAAGCTCAGCATATTATTAATCTTGAGAGAATTCAATGAAATAAAAAATATAGACCCTCCCACAGAAAGTATGTTTCAAAATATTCAAAATTGATTACATTGTGTGTTGGAAAACTGATATTTTCTCGAAGTTGGTCTGATATGCACTCCTTGGTATGTGCTTGAACTCTCAACGATTCACTATGCCGTCCTCTCATGGGTCTCTGAATTATTAGGAACAGAAAAGAGTCGCAAGGGCCAAATCTGGTAAATATGGAGGCTGAGGAATGATTACGGTGTTGTTTTTGGCCAAACAATTACGAATAAGCAATGACGAGTGAGAAGGTGCATTATTCTGAGGCAAAAGTCATGACTTATTTTTCCATAATACCGGACGTTTTCTTCATATTGAACACCTGTTTTGATAAATCAATTTTGTTATTTGCAAGTGTTGTTGAATGCTAAATCCGTCCATGGCGATTTGGGAAAACATATCTCAACACTCAAATGTCTTTTTTGGATCGTTTCCTGGCTGGACTCAGAGGATAGCTCACAGTGTCATCAGCAGTGTCTGTACTGGACATCTTGGAAAACAATTTTAAACAATATACTATAACGCACGCCACACAAACGACTGATTACAACCCTGTGCTGGTACGGAACACGTACCAAGAAGGCGAATTCACCAATGACCGCTGCCCTTTCCATCTGACACTGGGCGATCAAGTGAACATCACGCTTCGGTTTTGTTTTGTTTCACTCTATCTTGGATTTGGATAGACTTTAGAAACAGTAAAATAATTTCCGGCAGCAAACTGTGTGTTTACCAGTGATACTTTATGGACAACCTCTGTGCAGAAGAATATGACGAACATCCAAGAAGGGATCTGTACAAACTAGTACAGAAAATGGAATGGATGTCATGCCCATGCATGCCAAGTCCATGAGGTTGTTCCCTTTTCCGGGGACTTGGAAGAAGTCTATCAGCTCCCAAGCAGCAAAAAACTGACAATTTCTGGAATATATGTGCATCAGACTCATCCACGTTCTTCGTTGCTCGAAGAAACATCGATTTCTGGAATTTCGCAAGCTATTCCAACAAATTTCAATCTCGAGGAGCGGCATCAGAGTAATTCCATTC